ATATGTTACTTTGTATATTTTTGATATCTTTACAAGGTCTTTGGAAGCATCTTCATTTTTTTTGTCTGCATTATGTTTCATTATATACATAAAAGAGAGTTTATTTAATCAATCCCCTCTTGATAGACTTTATATTTATCTAATCCTTTATAATCATCAATAATATTTGGTGGAGGAGCGCAGCGGGCTCGGCGCTGCGGGCGGGCGGGCGGGGCGCACGCGGGCGGCCGGTGCCAGCCGCGGCCGTTGGCTGGCCGGGGCCCAATCCCGGGGCCCCATCCCGGGGCATGCCGCCCGGAGCCGGCCGGGGCGCGCGCTGCAGACCAGCCGGGCGGCAGGCTTGACCCCGCGGCCCGCGGAGGTGGCGTCGGGACCGCGGCGGGGACCCCGCGCCCGCCCGAGCCCGGAGGATGGCCTCGGTGTTCACGTGCGGCGTGGAGGACCTGCTGTTCGCCGGCAGCCGCTTCGTGTGGAACCTGACGGTGACCACGCTGCGGAGATGGTCCTCGGAGCGGCTGCGGGCTTGCCACCAGGTGCTGCGGACGTGGTGCGGGCTGCGCGACGTGTACCAGGTGAGCCGCGCCCGGGCCCACCTGGGTGACTTCTTCTCAACTCCCAGCCGGTGCCTTGGTGGCTCTGGGTGACCGTGTCTTCCAGGCCGGGCACAGGGGGCACCAGCGAGGCCCTCCAGCATTTGCACACGTGGGTTAGGGCGGTGGAGTGGCCTCCAGGGAGCGACTTTGGCATTCAGAGGACCCCTTCCTTTGCATCGCAGAGGGCTGCCTGGCCATTTTAGAAGAGATGGCTTCACCCTCTGTCCAGGGCCCCTTCCTGGGTTGACTGGCCTCCTTTTGAGATTTTATTTCATTTTTCCATCAGGCAACCCCAACTTGCAGGGCAGAGCCAGGAAAAGCTGATCCTGCCCCTTTCCGGCCTTTGGAAGGGAGGACACCACATGGTGAACAGTTTGTGGGAGGCTGGCAGGTGGGGACCGAGGGTGGCCTGGCGGGACCTGGGAGTGCTTGGCTGGCATCACTCCCTGTAACAGCACAGCCTCTTGCTCCCTGTGCTGGATCCCATCCTGCAAACCAAAACAATGCAGCAACTTTGCTCAACCAGGAGACCCTCCCTCCACTCTGGAACGGCACCTTGGCTGGGTGGTTTTAAACAGTAATCTGTGGGTTCAAAAGTGCTTGGTGTGCTTTGGCTGTTAGGGCGTCTGAGGCGAAGAGCCCTGTGTTGTTGAATTAGGAAGGTTGTACCTGGGTTTATGGGAGGGCAATGCCCCATCTTCTTTCAGGTGAGGTGGAAGGGCTCTGCTGCCCCTTCTCGGGTTCCCCCACCCTGACCCCATTCCCGATACGGCTGGGATCTGTGGCTCCTTATATCGTGTCCCATCTGTGACGGAGCACTTGGTTTAGAGAAGCCACCGTGTTTCGTCCCCCAGGCAGAGTGAAGAGGCAGCCTCTGAGGTCAGCCAGTAGACGTCTAGAGGGTCCCTGACCGCCGGTCATCCTTGCCTAGACGTGAGGAACATTGTAATTGGGGCTTTCGTGGCTCCTGCTTCCCGAAACCTGTCTCTGTTGTCGTGCGTTTTCAAGTGGAATCCCAAAGCCGTGCTGAGAACCGGGGCACGTGGGGGTTTGAGCGTATTAGGGAACTCTGGATAGATCCCAGCTGGCCGCGTCAGACGCTCCCCTGGCTTTCGGGGCCAGAAGTGTGTCCGTCTTTCAGGGTTTTTTTCCACTCTCCCTTGGGAAATCCCTGTTCAGTTTGGTTTAGAGGATATGTGTCCCGCGTGTAGTTTTGCTTTTTCTTTCTGATGTTGGGGAAATTTTCAAAAAGAGAACCCAAAGAGTGTGGCCAACCAGACAGCCTGGGTGCCTCTCTCTCCCAGGGGATTCAGGGGATTTATGGCTTATCTCTAATGCTGCTACTAACCAACTCAAAAATGAAGGTTTCAGCAATCCCGGAGCCTGTGAGTTCTTTATCAGTTTGGTCAATAATAATTTTAAGGCACAACTACAATTTGAAAGGTTAAGCTACTGAAATACACATTTTTTTCTCTTCTATAAAATGAACACCGATAGAGTCAATACCTTCTTGTGATCAGAACATGCGTTTACAACAACCAGGAGGGCTGGGGACATAGCTCAGTTGGTAGAGAGCTTGCCTTGCATGCACAAAGCCCCTGGGTTCAATCCCCAGCACCACAATAAATAAATAAGCAAACAAACAAACAAACAAGGACTTTTGTGAGTATTAAGTCACAAGTAGAAGAAAATGAGGCTCGGGTTTAAAGTTTCCTGGGTTTTTGGAGAAATAAGATTTTAAACGCTTTTGGGTTTTTTTAGCCTTAGAACAATAGTTTTCTTAATGGCACAATATGCTTAAATCATTTGCAAAGAAAGATCCTTTTAAAGTTGAAATTTTTAAAAATTTTCAAGGGGCTGGGGTTGTGGCTCAGTGGTAGAGCACCTGCCTGGCCTGTGTGAGGCACGGGGTTCAATCCTCAGCATAAAAATAAATAAATAAGACAAAGGTCTAGTGACCATATTCAACTAAAATAAAAAATGTTAATGCTTTTCAAATATCGAGCAAGAAAGTGGTGAGCTGAATTGCCTAGAATGAAAAAGAAGTGAAGTGATTTCTCCCCTTGGCCTCTTATCTGTTCCACAGTAGGTAGGTGAGGGCCCCCAGTCTCCGCCGCCGGTGTGTGGCCATGGCCAAGTTAATCTCCCTGAGGTTCCTCGTCTCTGCAGTGGGGGGATTAGTGCAGGTAATCACAGAGCTGTGTAAGAGAATTTCCTGACGTGCAGCGCATTTAGCGCACGGCTTAGATCTTAGGAAGCACGCGATGCATGTTACCTGTTCTGTCGGATGTTCCAAATAACGATAATAGGAAACCCAACCGAACCCACAGAGTGAAAAGAAGTGACTTCCGCCCGGGCGAACGTTCCAGCGGTGGAACCAAACTCAGGCCTGGTTCTGATCGGGGCACAATGCTGTGTGCAGAATTCATTCTGACCTGGTCCACTTCTTGTGTGGGCTTTGTCCTCAGCGGGCTTCTGCCCTGAGGACAGCAGATAGTCACAGCAGGGCCAGTCCTCAGACCACGCACCAATATACCCAGAGGACCTCCTCACTAAGTTGCCTGAGGCTGGCCTCCAACTTGCAATCCTCCTGCCTCAGCCTTCCAAGCAGGTGGGATTACAGGCATGTGCCGTGGTGCCTCACTAGAAAGAGAACTTCCTGTATCTCCCAACTATCAAAAGTCCTAGTTGATACTCTGGGTGTGCATGTGGGGCCTGTGCCCAGCTCTAATGCCAGGTACTAATTGGCACAGAGTGTCAGGTTGCAAATCTAGAAATTCTTTTTGTTTTT